CAGGCAGGGGGAACGCCAGGCTGGGCTGCCGCCGCGGTCAAAACACACCCGGTGGGGACATCGCAGCGATGACAGGCTGCGATGCTGTCATAGCGCAGTACGGTCTGGGGGCAGCATTAAGTTGTGACGCACTCGGATGGAAACATGCAGTTGGAAGAGAGATGCTGGATCATTGCGTGTTGTGCTATGGGGCTGCACGGGGAAGATGTAGGGACTCGACAGCAATGGGCCTGTGGGCACTTTGCTGGGCAAGGAGTGTTTTAGTAGTCTGGCTTGAGGCGGTGCCAAACCTCCGGCGCGGAGCAGCATGTGCAGCCGTTCTCACCGCCTGCTTTTGCCACCTGCAGCAAGGCTGAAGGTGACGCACAGGACAGTGTCCCCACAGTAGCGCAGCTGAAGAGGAGGAAAGTCTGTCCCGGTTCAAACTTCCCCTATGGGCTAATGTATGAGACCCCATTGCAGTGGGGAGAGGGATGAGGGGACGCTTCTCGTTCTGCTCCTGTGGCACCAGTGCAAGTGGTGCATAAGGGGACACGGGATGCGTAGGACAGGCGCATGCCAGGTGATGAGCTGCTCATCCCAAGCAGGGCTGGTGCAGAGCAGACAGGCTGCAGGGTGCGGGGGCTTGCTGCAAAGGTGAATAAGGGACGTGACGCAGGTTTGGCCAGGGTCTCTTTGCTCTGACGGAGGCCCCTGGTTTGACAGTACTGTTCCTCGGGGCTGGTTTTGTGGCTTTTCTGGAGAGAAAGGTATATATATATATTTATATATATATATATATATTTATATATTTTAAAAGGAAAAGTTGGGGAAAGCCAGCGACTGAGCTCTTGTATTGAAATGCTGCCAGGCACAGCGAAAGGGAGAGTATCTGCAGGGAGGGTACTTTGTAGCTGTGAAGTCTCTTTTGCAAAATGTCACATGGCCATGACTTTTCTTGGTGCTGGCAGGAAGAATAGAAATTTTGACCCACGCAGGGCAGCTTGCTGCTCTGGGAGCTGAATATTAGGTTGCTAAGCATGAGAGGCAGCACCCTGGAAAAGGAACTCGTTGCTTTGTAATGCATCTGTAATAGCCATGGTCTTCAGCAGAGGATCCTCAGAAAGGGTTAACCCTCTCTGCCTAGTGCCTAAATGCCTGTCTTAGCCCAGCATGTCGAGCACAGAGGGAACTTACAGCCCTCTTACAGTTCAGTCCTGTCTGCGCCAAAGCTGAGTCTGCCCTGGCCGGCGTCCCTACTTGTGTGACATTGCCAAGGCTGGGGCAGAGTGTGAGAGCTGCTTCTTGCCTGATGCAGCCCATCCACCCCTCCTGGAAGCACTTGTTGGAGCAGGACTCGGAGGGGTGCAGTCAGGAGGGCACAGGAGGAAGAGGCCCTTCTTTCTGTGAGCAGTCCCCCTGGGACAGGGTTCCTCAGTCTCTTAGGTGCTGCTCCTGTCGTGGGCAGAGCTGGCTCCCGCAGTTCACATGCTGCAGCCGTGAGCTCATAGCCCTGGGACAACAAACCTAAGCTTGGGGGCAAGCTCAGGGGCAGGGGCCAGTCCTCTGCCTGCCTGGCTCTTGGGCAGCCCTTACACATCCAGAGATGTCAAGGAGTGCCAGTCTTGGGAGTCCAGAGAGCCTGGAGAGCAAGCTGAGCTGTGAGGCCGTTGTCTCTACTGATACAGCTCTCATGAGCTTGCGTTCAGGAGCCCGGGCAGTTTAGTCTGCCCCATGAAAAGGCCGGGGGTTTGGTGGGCAGACGCAGAGCTCTGTTGCTGTGGGGCCAGGGCAGCAGGGACGGTGTTTGCCCTTGCAGTGCTAGTGCAGGGTTAGTTGCAGTTCTCAGCTAGCAGCTGGACTGAGCCCACCACATTAGTTTCATTCAAGACATCAAACAGCTGTGAGCAGGGGATGGCATTTGGCCAAGCAGAGTCTTGGCAGGATTTAAGCGTAGATGTAAAGTTTTGCACTGCACCCCTCCCACCACCCCAGCCCTCTCAGTGCCCCCAGCCACAAGCAGTGCTGGCCCTGCTGCTCCTCGTGACCTGTTTCTGAGGTGATGGCACTTTCCAGCCTCTGCCCTCAGCAGGCTTGTGTGATGCTGCCGGTGTTCGTGACGGGGCCGCTTGAACCTTTTGAAGCTGCAAGAGCGTTTGTATTTTGAAGTGTTCATAGGCAGTCCCAGAGCCCAGGTTTTTATAGTGTTTTGCTCTGCTGGGCCGTTCTCCGGCACTGTGCAGACGTCGCTTTCATTCAGAATTACTCCCTGAGCGTTTTTTGGCATCAGCTCTTCCACTCTGTGTTTTAGCAGAAACCCTCCCACAAGGCTGGCACAGGGCTCTGCTCCGAGAGGCCTCCTTCCCCTCCCAGCTCTCCACCCGTCTCGCTCTGCTCTCCCAACCCCAGGCCCAGCTGCTTGGTATCTCCATCCCTCAGCACAAAGGGCTGACCTCAGTGCACGTTGTTGCTGAACCAGGTCAAATCCAGTGCACCAGTCTGCCAGCAGCTGCCCTGGCCCATATGAGTATTCACTCCTTTCTGAGGAGCTTTCCTGCAGTTCCTGTGTTTCATTCTCCACCTTTCTGTGCCATTTTTCTA